GCGGGCCAAGACGCGTGCGGGGCCCCCGGCCACCCTGAACGCTCTTGAAAGTTGCCCCCCTTTTTTTTCATCTTAAACATTCCTGGCGAGTTTGTGTCCTACACGATCACATGGCTGCTTGTTTCGGTACCCAATCGTGGGTTTCCCACTTCACGCTCCAGTAGCATTGCCCAGAGGGGTGCGTGCTTTTGGAACTTGTGCTTTCCCGCACAGACTACCTTTCTCAATCTTGGAGTCTGAAAAGCGTGGTCCTAAGGAGGTCAGCAATTGGGGGCGGGGGCGGGGGTGAGCCATTCAAATGGATGGGCCCTCCTCCCTTTTATTTCTTTATGGGGCATGGAGAACCTGACTCAGTCCACGTGTCTCCCCGGTCCTTGGCCTTTTATGACTCTGTTCAATTCCATCTCCCCGCTCCAATTTCCACCTGGAGTCCCCGATCCTGTCCTTCAGGTCCAGTGTGTGTGTGTGTGGTGGGGTGGGGGGGATAAGGATGGAGGAAGACATGTTTTCGCTGGCACCCCCACACACAAAAGAATGTGTGGGACGTTTTATACTGACAAAGTACTCATTGTTTACCTGAATTCAAATCGAACTGGGCATTCTGATTTTTATTTGCAAAATCTAGCAAATCTACTTGGCTTGCCCCAGCCTAAGAGCTAAGCTTGCGCTGGTCAAGAGGGTTGAGACACCTACTGGGGTCCAGAGACTAAAGGACACTCATGCTACTCATAGTGACCCTGTGAAACATAGTGCCCCTGTGGGTTTCCAAGACTGGAACTCTTATGGGAATAGAAAGTGCTATCTTTCTTCCTCGGAGCAACTGGTGGTTTCGAACTGCTGACCTTGCAGTTAGCAGCCCCAGACATAACCACTGTGTCACCAGGCACTTCTTAAACGGCTTCCATGTGCCAGGGGGTAGGGGTGGTGAGAGCATCAGGGGTCGTGGGATCAAAATAACCTGAGTTCAAATCTCACCGCTCTGCTACTTGGTGCGATCGTGGTCAAGCGACTGAGCCTGTCTCCATCTGTTTGCTCCTCTGCGGAAGGGCCCCTGATAGCATCTGGCATGCTGGGCTAGGGGTTCCGGGGAACCATGTTCCTGAAGCACTAAGCACAGAGCTCCAAACCAAACTCACCGCCATAGAATCAATTCCCACTCATGGCAGCCCTAGAGGACAGGGTGCGACTGCCCCTGTGAGTTTCCAAGACAGTAATTCTTTTCAGGAGTAGAAAGCCCAGTCTTTCTCCCACGTAGCAGCAGCTGGTGGTTTTGAACTACTGACCTTACAGTTAGCCCAACACATAACCACTAAGCCACCAGAGCTCCTTAGCCCAATACTAGGCATATAGTAATTATTACTCAATAAATAGTGCCAATTGTGGTTATACTGGAGCAGATCTGGGCTCTGTGGGGCTTGAAGCCTATAAACATTGGGGAAGTCTTGTTAAGAAAGGGGATAAACCCACTGAGGCAAAACACTAAGGGCATGCAACAGAACAGCAAGGGGAACAGAGCAATG